CTTATTTACAGTTATTAGATTTAAAATAGACAAAAGAGTTTATGGTTTTGAACATTGTAAGACTGAGTTTGAAATAGAATTGTGTATAAATGATGAACATGTAATTGCTAAAATATTGTGTATAAATGATGAACATGTAATTGCTAAAATATTGTGTATAAATGATGAACATGTAATTGCTAAAATGTATAAACCTTTATTGAAATTTGAAACAGAAGAGGAACAAGTGAAAGAATATATGATAAAGTGGGCTAAAAATTCTGGTTATAATATACAGATTGAATAATAGGAAAATATGTGGTTGAAAGGATTGAAATTTACATTGTGTATTTATCTTAAAGAGATTTTTTATAAAACAATGTTTCAAATTTATGCTGGAAATGTGAACAACAAGAAGAGTCATTTTGACATGCTTGGTGGATGTGTAAAAAAGCTAGAAAATTTTGGATTCAAATATATACACTGATTCAGAGGATTTTAAAGATTAATATTCAGTTGAGAATATTTATTTGGGACTGATGGACAAACAGTTGGAAAAGATCATGGAACTTTGTTGTTGTATAGGATAACTGCAGAAAAATTATTGTATGCACAAAGATGGAAAGATTCAGCATTACCCACAATGGAGGAACGGTTGGTGAAGATGATGGAACTTGCTGAGATGGCCAAATTGACTTCTTTGATCACAGAAATAACAATATATACGTTTACTGGTGACTGGAAACCCCTTATGGACCTTTTACGTAAAACAGAAAAAAAATGAACTTATGATTTATGGTTTTGATAATTAAATAGGATAGATTATGGAAAGGAGAGAATCATGTTCTAACTTTAGAGAAAGAGGAAAATTTATAATTGTACTTATAAGTGCTGCAAAGATCAGAAGCCTCCTCTTTGTATCTTTTTTCTTTCTTTTCTATTTTTCTTTTACTTTCCCTTTCTTGCACTTTTAGTTTTCTCTTTGATTTCTTTGTTTTTCTTTTTTCTCCCTTGCTTTATATTAGTTTGCATTCGTTTTTATCTTCATTTTTAAAACTTTAATTTAATTATATATTTTAAAAAAGGATCAATGTACAACTGCTTCAACTATCTGTCAAAGATCTCTCTTTCCTTAAAAAGTGACCTATTGCCATTTATAAGCCACCGTTATCTTCTAGGATGCTAGAGTCGAAAAGTTTTAGCAAATGAAAGGAGTTTGGTAGAAGATAAACTTTTCTTTTTTAAAAATTTCCCATCTTTTATATTTTACCCCTCTATTAGAACATTCCAACCGAGCTTTACATTTTAATTTAATAATTGCAAGATTCAAGCAACAGCACAGTAATAATGCAGTTTACATCAGTTAAATTATGTGTAGAAAAGCTCATCATAACTTTTCTCAGGAAAAAGAATGCTTAATTATGTCAGCTACTCAGATATTCTAAAATCCTAAGTGCTTTGTATATAAACTTTATTAAAATTCTACACATAAAATGGACATAAAAACCCACAATGCATAAACATATACAAAAACATAAACCTACAAACACAAAACTAAACATCTAACTTAAAAAAAAAAAACATATAGTCCACTTCCACCCTTCACTTTCCTTACAGATCCATTAACCATTTCTTATTCTTTTATACTGTTTAAATAGTAATCACTATTCAAATTTTCCACTATTTCCTCTTGTTTAATCAATAAAATCCTTTATCATCAAACTATTTTCTCTACTTTTGTAATGTAATCCATAAATGGACTCCAGTCTTTAATAAAAGTCTCTGTAAATTTCTCTGTCATTAGACACTTTTGCCATTTCTGCCAAATGCATAACTTTAAATATCCAATCTTCAACTTTTGGAGCTTCTTTGTTTTTCCATTTCTGCACATATAATAATGATTGCTACTGTAATCATATACAACAATAAGACATTGTGCTTTTTACTCAATTCTTATTCCATAAACCTTAATAAATATATATAATATAAATATA